GGAGGAGGTGGAGGATGAGGATGAGGAGGAGGAGGAGGAGGAGGAGGAAGAAGAGGGGAAGGAGGACCCTCTCCCCGCTCCAACTTACGGTGGTGGTGGTGGTGGAAAACAGACCCGTCATGATGGGCGTGTAATCCACCACCGCCACCATAAGTTGGAGGGGGGAAGGAGGTGGAGGATGAGGAGGAGGCAGAAGAAGAAGAGGGGGAGGGGGAACCCCTCCCCCCTCCAAATTATGGTGGTGGTGGTGGTGGTGGTGGTGGTGGTGGTGGTGGTGGTGGTGGTGGTGGTGGTGGTGGTGGTGGTGGTGGTGGAAAACAGGCCCGTCACACACACACACACACACACACACACCTACACACACCACACACACACACACCTACACACACCTACACACACACACACACACACACACACACACACACACACACGCCAGGCGGGCTATTCGCCACTGAGCCCAGGTCTCCGACGATCTCAGTTTTGCTCGGCCAGCGGCTGGTCCCCGCTTTCGGCCGCAGGTGGCCGGAATTCTGGGCCTCAAGGCAGTCAGAAATGGCGTTGGGCCAAGGAAACTGCCAATGGGGAAGCGGTCGGGACCTCTGGGGCCGCGTATTGTAGGGCGACGAAATCTATGCATACCCACTGCTCCCTGGCCAATACCATCCTGAACCCAGCAGCGGTGTATGCGCCACGCCGTACTGGCTTGGCCAGGAGGGCGTATACACAGCTCCTGGGCCCAAAAAGGGCCTGGTTAGGGAGCAGTGGGTATGTATAGATTTCCTCGCGCCTGGCACACCAATCTGCGACAAGGGAGCACGAGGAGGAGGAAGAGGAGGAGGAGGAGGAGGAGGAAACAGGCGGCGCGGCCGCCAGCCCGGTAGGGCGTGTTTGCGAGGCATCGTTGGGAGAAATCCCGCATCCTACAATCACGGCGGGCTCTTGTGGTGACGACGGACGCGGACCTTGGTTTCTGGCACCGCGCATATCGCCCGAACTTGAGCGATCTCCGCTATACGACATCGGGGATTGTTCAATACTGGCATGTTTCAGAACGCCGGCGGCCTTCAACCTTGAATGCCCGAGCAAACGCCGCCACCAATTCGACGCGGCGCGCGACACCCGTAAGAAGATTCGGAACTCAACAGGTCCAACTGGTGGCCCGGAAACCAAGTCTCCTGCGCAGGGCCCCCTGTTCGAGGGCGTCCAAAACAGGAGCGTCCAGAGAGAAGAGCGCAGATCATGGCCAGCGGCACGCGCGCGGCCCAGGGCGGAGCTGGGGACGTATTGCAATAAGACAAGGCGCCATGAAATCTGCGGAGATATCATGGCCCCCGGAATGGTATCCGCCCACCCTAATCATCACCCCTTCCTTTGCCGCCCCCGACCTGTGAGACCTCATGAGGGACTTCTGGGCCCTCGCCCCAGAAACACGATCTCGCTTGGCCGGGCTAAGCCAGGACCTTGGAAACGCGGGCACAAACCCTGGTCGATGAACCGCCTGTTCTATATGATAGTGTCCACTGTGGTAAACAAAGTGCTCGCAGCACACACTTTGTGGGGCGTCGCGGCCCTGCGCGCGACGACAAAGCGAATAAGGTCATCAAGCAGCGAACGCGCGCGCGCGACTAGGAACGCCCGACTGCGACACACACACACACACACACACACACACACACACGCACACGCACACGCACACGCACACGCACACACACACACACACGCGCACAAGCACACACACACACACACACACACACACGCACAGAAAACACACACACACACGTTCTTTTACGTCAGAGGCCCGATAAGCAACCAATGGAGCAATACAGCTGCAACGGCCGACGCAACTCTGCGCGGTGAGGCCACCGAGACTTCGGGAGCAGACCTGGTCGCAAAGAACAGGGCGCGCGCCGAGCAGTAGTCTCGGAAGCCCCGATGCCGATGCCGGAAAAGGAACACACAGACACACAGACACACAGACACACACACACACAGACACACACTAACACACACACACAGACACACACACACACAGACAATTTTTCTACCAGCCGATAAGAGCACTGCGGCAAGAGGAGAGGGAAAGCGCGCGCCGGGCGCGCGCCAAGGGCCCTTCGGGTGCCCAGAGCCGGCGGGGGGCGGCCGCGCGACGCGCCCCGCCGCGGCCGCCGCGCCGACGCTGCCCGCGGCCGCGCGCGCGACTTCGGCGTCGCGGCCGCGCGCGCGGCGGCGCGGCGCAGGTCGGGCCGCACGGGGGCCCGCGGGCCGGCACAGCAGCTCACGCGCCACACTGCGATGACGCCTGCTCGCAAGACCTCCTTGGCGCAAGGCACCAGACGTTACGGACAACAACCTTCTGGCGTCGGCGACCCAGTGCAACGCTGCGGTCTTCCCGACGGCCGCCTGCGTGAATGCCCTGCGTTCAAACGGCTCCAGCAGGACACGACAAGCGGCCCGCTCCAGAAGCCCGACACGCACCCTGCTTGCTTCAACGGAGAGGGCCTTGCAGGGCGGGACCTAACCTGCCCCGCCAACCCTGCTGCTCCTCCCGGTCCTACCAGGCGCTGGGCACTCCTGGGCTGCCCTCGAACGTTGCCGCCGGGCTCACTTGTCGTAGCATTTGTACACCCTGGCGCGCGAGTCCAAGCTGGCTGATGCCCGAGTCATCTCGCACTGGTTCTCTTCGTAACAGCGGCAGGAGGCGCCAGTGGGGTCAAGGGCAGCACTCGCGGGGGGGGGGGGGGGCGGCCGCGAGGGGAGCGACGGGGGAGGCGGGGGGGAAGGTGGGAGCGCAGGGGAAGCGAGGCAGTGTGTGCGGTCGCACGGACAAGCCGGGGGCCACGAGCGAGGGGCAGCGGGAAGACGGCCACGGAGGGCCTAGACACACGCACACACACGCACGCGCACACACAGACACACAGACACACAGACACACAGACACACAGACACACAGACACACAGACACACAGACACACACACAGACACACACACACACACTCACACACACGCACACACACACACACACACACGCACGCATGCACGCACGCACGTACGCACGTACGCACGTACGTACGTACGCACGCGCACAAAACACACGCACAAACGCACACACACACACACACACAGTCACACACACAGGCACACATTCACACACACACACACACACACACACACACACACACACACGCGCGCAGACACACTTTCACGCACATTCACACACACACACGCACAGACACACACATACACACACTTACACACACTTACACTTACACACACACACACACATTCACACACACACACACACACACGCACATGCACGCTCACATTCACACGCACACACACACCCACACACACACGCACAGACACACACACACACACACACACACAACACACAACACAACACACACACACACACACACACTGTTTGGCGTCGCGGCCCAGCGCGCGGCGACAGAGCGTAGAAGGTCGGAAAACACACACACACACGCACTTGTCTTCCGAAGCGCTGAAGGGCCCAGCCAGGGGTAAAAAGATCGATGGCGGGCGACTCTTGAGGTGATTCGCTGCCTTGCGAAGCTGCGCCACAAATCTGTAGTCCCAAAAGGCCGCGCTCATGACACACACACACACACACACACACACACGCACACACACACATACACACACACACACACACACACACACACACACACGCACGCACACTTCCTTTTCGGCGACCGCGTGCCCCGCGACACGGCACGAGTTCTCGAGGAGAGCAGCCAAGCCCAGGCGCGGAGGCACGGGAGACGAGACCACGGGCGGCGGCGGCGTGCGGACGGGGCCGGCACCTGGGGCGGCGGCAGAGAACATGCACACACAATTTCTCCTCCGCTGGAGGAGGAGGAGGAGGAGGAGGAGGGGGAGGGGGAGGAGGAGGAGGAGGAGGAGGAGGAGGAGGAGGAGGAGGAGGAGGAGGAGGAGGGGGAGGGGGAGGGGGATGGCTAAGCGACGCCACTGTTCAGTCAAGCGCGTCCCACTGCTCGCAAAGGAACTACTCGCCAATGGCCGCGGGGGACCTTCGACAAGTTGCATCAGAGCAGGCACGTGGGCCGCACGAGCAGGAGTTGCGCCCCGCAGCGTGGCCCAAGGGCACGCGGTGGGCCCCGCCCGCCGTGTGCACAAAAGGGGGACTGCGCAGAGCCCCGGTGCGGAAGAGGCGCGCCCGCCGTGGGAAGCGCGCACGCCGGCGGCGGGGGGGCTGGCAGGCAGCAGCCGCAGAGCAGGAGCCAGACACACACACACACACACACACACACACACACGTGTGCAAAATGCGACAGACACTCACTTACTTCCTTACTTACTCACTTATTCACTTACTCGCACACACTCACACACAGACACACACACACACACATACACAACCACCCACACACACACACTTACACACACACAACACTTACACTTACACTTACCCTTAGACACACACACACAAACACAGCTACACACATACACATACACATACACACACACACACACACACACACACACACACGCACACACACACACACACACACACCCACACACCCACACGCACACACGCACGCATTTCCACCCCTCCGACGCTCACCGCAACGACCCACCGACGCGATCCAGCCGCCCCGCGCCCCGCGCGGCCCGCCCCGCCCAATGCCTTTTTCTGCTGGAGACGCCGCCCAGGACCTAGAACCTAGGAGCTAGGAGATCTCGAACTCTACGTTTAGGTCGGGCGTGTCCCCCTACAGGGGGATTTTTTGGGCGAAAGATGAAAATATACAATAAATATTCCAAAATGGTCCAGAAATGCTCTAACAAAAATCGTCCCCATACTATTTTGTGACTATCTTTGATTCTTCCTCCTGTAGAGGGACAGGCCCGACTTCACTCTGCGTGCTGAAGATCGGGGACGCCCCATCACCGAAGAAGTAATGGTGCGCAGGGCGAGGACGGCCGCGCGGGTTCGCCGTGCAGCTCTCAGGGAAACTCTACCTGCCCATCTTCCCGCCCGCCGGGCCAGAGTCCGCGCTCGCGTCGGTGCCCGCCGACTTGTCCGCCGACTTGTCCGCGGGCCTCCCCTTGCCTTCGCTGGCATCCTCCTGGCCATCCCCGGTCTCCATCCTCACATCGAGGACCTTGTCCCTCTCGTCCTCGTCCTCCGCCGGCGACTCCTCGGCGGACCCCTTGCCGCGGTTGCGGTCCTCCCCCTCCTCCCCAGCCTCGATGAATGCCTCGATCTGCAGCACCCTACGGTCGTCCACCTCGGACACCTCGAATCGGACGTTTTTGGTGGCCGTCTCCACCAGCACAGCCTGCCCCGCCTCTGGGATTTGCTCAAGGTACATACACATGAAGCCGCCGATGGAGTTGAAGCTGCCGTTGGGCAGCTCGATGCCGAGGACGTCACTCACGTCTTCGACATCGGCGACGGCGCTAATCCCCCAGCGGTTTTCCCCGAGCTTCTTGATCATGGAGCTGTTCTGCACGCGCTCGATCTTGTCCTTCTCCTCCTCCGGGTCGTAGATCTCCCCGACGATCTGCTCGAGCACGTCCTCGAGCGTCACGAGGCCAGTGGTGCCCCCATACTCGTCCACGCAGATCGCGATGGAGCGCTCCTTGAGTGTCCTCAGGGCGCTCAGGAGGGACATCGTCTCGGGAACGAAGAAGGGCTTGTCGCAGATCGACTCCACGAGGTCCGCGCCGCGGGCGTCAGCATCACCAAAGAGCTTGACGTGCTTCAGCAGCATCTTCATGCTCACCACGCCCACGATGCTGTCGAAGCGGTTGCTGTAAACTGGCACGCGGCTGTACTGCGTGTCCCTCCAGAGCTCGTAGAGGCTGCTGAGGGGCTGCTGTGCGTCTATGCATATCATGTCAATGAGTGGGGTCATCACCTCCTTCACGGTCTTACGGTCCATTTTCCGCACGCTACGGATCATGTCGCCCTCTTCCCCGTCCAAGACGCCGCTCTTCATGGCCGAGTTGAACATTAGGTCGAGCTCGGCCTCGGAAACCAGAGGCGTCTTGCTTGTGTCCACTGATATGCCGAAGAAACGCAGCATCAACGACACAGCCGTGTTTAGAAAGCGGCTGACAGGGTACACTACCATGGAGATTCTGTAGAAGACGGGCAGGGTGACCGAGCAGAAACTGACCGGGTTCGAGACCGCGAGGAGCTTCGGGATGATCTCGCCCGCGGTCAGCTGGATGGCCGTAACGGACACGGTCGCGATCCCGAGCCCTCTCGGCCCAAAGAGCTGCCCGCACATCTCGGTGATGAACGAGGCGGATATCACGCTCGAGAGCGTCGTGCCGATGAGGATCGTCTGCATGAACCGCTGAATGTCCTTCCGCAGTGCGTTCCACTTGCCGCTCTCATCGCGCTCCCGCTCCTGCATCGCGAACTCGCGCACCTTCCACGGCCACAGCGTGGTGATGGCCGTCTCCGTGCCGGCACAGCAGGCGAGCACGAAGAAACTGGCCACGGCCACGCCCAGATCCGAGAAGAGTGATCCGCACACGCCCGTGTACCTAGGACTGAGGGATGAAAAATGGCCCTACCCTGGGTTGCAAGTGCGTGGTCTGTAGACCTACCAGGAGCTGAGGCTAGAGAGCCGCCAGGACGCAGCGCGACGCGCAGGGTGTACCCTGTCAGCCCACAGGAGGTTCAGCCCACAGCGACTCGTAAAACAGGGTAGGAGCGGCGCTTACACTCTTCATAGGAAAAGAAAAACAACAGAACCTTTCGGATGTCCGCGCGGATGCGAGCGGCGCCGCACCCCCTCCCCTGGCGCCATGGCGTGCGGAGCGCGCTGGGGGGGGCCCAGCGCAGATCCACGAAATCCACGAAGACCTCCGAGAGTTAATGCTTTCGCCGAGCTTAGCCAACCACAGGCGTGAACCCCACGCCTGCAGGTCAGATCTCTCAAACACCGGCTTCGGTCAGGCATCCGACGGACGCCTGCGGCCTAGTAGTCAGAACCCCAGCGCGGGCGCCCGTCCGATACCCCCGCGCCTGGGGGACCCGCAGGGGCAGGGCCCGCAGGTGGCCGCAGAGCCTTCTCCTCCCGAGCGCCGCGCCACCCTCTCCGCCAGCGTGCCCTCGAGGAGCACGGGGGCCGCCGAGCCCAGCCCCGCGGAGGCCCGCGCCGGCCCGCGCAGCAGCGCCCAGCAGGCCGCGCCCGCCGCGGCCACCAGCAGGCCCCGCAGCAGCCGCCGCGACCTGCGCGGCGAGCGCCGCAGGGCCCCCAGCGCCTGCAGCTCCCGGGCCGCCGAGGCCGCGGCCCCCGCGCGAGCCCGCGCCTGCCGCAGCCCGCCCGCCGCCGCGGCGGCCCCCGCGCGCGGGCGCGCGCGCCGCCGCGAGCGCCGCGCCCAGCAGCGCCAGGCCCGCCAGCGGCCGCCCGGCGGGGGCCGCGGTCGCCGCCCGGCGCCGCGGCGGAGGGGCCGGCCTCGCCGGGGGCCGCGCCGCCCGCGCCGCGCTCCCGCAGGGCCCGCAGCGCCTGCGGCGGCGCGGCGCGCGCGCCGCGGGCCTCGGGCGCGGCTCCGCCGCCGGGCGGCGGGCTCGCGGGCGCCGCGGCCGCCGGCAGGGGCGCCATCGCCGCCGGCAGGGCGCGCGGAGGCGGAGCCTCGGGCGGCAGGCGTGCGCCGCCGGAGGCGGCGCCGGAGCCTCGCCCTCTCCGCCGAGATGGGTACGGACGAGCCGGAGGCGACGGGAGCACTCCTCGTGGTTGTTTTTTGGGGTGCCACTGTTCGCCTCTCTCCAGGTAGAGAACGTGGGCCCCACCTCGGCGGGCGAGCTGCGGCCACAGGCAGCGCAGTGGAGTTGGACTGCAGATTTCCGCGTCCATCCTGTCAACACCTCAACATGCACCCAGACTACCTGGGCCAGCCCATCCAAGGCATACGACCACCGTGCAGCCGCCATCACAACGGCGATCTGGCCACCTGCTGTCCCGGCCGCGTGGCCGATTTAATGGGGCCACCGAGGCACGCTGCCGCTAGTGGCAGCGCCTGGAGAGGAGGAGGGGGAGGAAGCGATTGGAGGCCTGAAAATGGGCACCGACACCAACACAAGGGGTTGCCTCCACAGGGGGAAGATGATCCTAGATTTCGGTGTCGGCCACCTTGGAAGCCAGAAAATTGCCACCATCGCCGAGATCGGGAGCATCTTCCCTCGGTGGAGGCACACCGCCGATATTGGTGTGGGCGTCAATCTCTAGGCCTGCGAAGCGAGGACAAAGGGAAGAAGAGGGCGAAGGGGGCAACTGGGTGCTCGCTCCGAGCAACCCGGCCTCCAGCCGCCCAGGTAGCTGAAGGGGCCCAGGGAAACACAAATTCGCCGGCCCAACGGGCCAGAGGCGTGCTAAGATCTCCGGCAACTGGTTAACAATATTTGTAGTTCGCGCGCGCAGGGCGGCCCCTGGGGGTCCCCCGGCGAAAAGTATCCCGACCGCAGCCCGAGCAGGTCTACTCAGAGATGGTTTTGAGGGCCTTTTTTCGACACCCCTCACGAGGATCGTGGTTTCCGAGGGGGGTGCACTCGACTACCCCGCCCCAAGAAGCCCCCAAGAGCCCCCCAAGAGGCCCAAGGGGGCCCCAAGACGCCGCCAAAGAGCCCCAAGAGACTCCCAAGAGACCCCAAGAGGCCCCCAAGAGGCCCCAAAGAGGCCCCCAAGAGGCTTCAAAGAGGCCCTATAGAGCAGAGCGCTCGAGGGCTGGCGGAATGAGCGAAGCGATTCAATAAATACACACAAATCCCAAGATTCACCTTATTTTCACATAGTTTCTGGGTTTTTGTCTTCCCCCCCCCACACACTTCCGATATTTCCCAATATTTTCCTGGGAGTCGACGATGAATTGTGTCTGTGTGTGTGTTTGCCTCTCCTGAGTAGCCTGGGACCCTTCCGGCCTGCCTGGACCAACAGTGTGACCCCCGCCTCAAAACTGCAGCCCGAGCCCGTGCTGCCAGAGGTCGTGCGGCGGGTGCCCGTCGAGCCGCCCGAGGTCGTACGGCAGGAACCCGCAGCGCACGGAGGAGCCACGGGCACGAGGGAGGGCCCCAGCCCTCCATGGGGCTGCACGGCGCTGCTGGGGCCTGGTGCTGCTGGCCGCCTGCCCGGCAGGCAGGCCGGCTGACTCGGGCGCTGCCCCCGCCTGCCTGCTCAGCGACTCGGCTACACGTAAGAGTGACCCTGGGTAAGAGTGACCTTTGGTGCGCGGCTTTTTGGGGGCCGCGGGGGGGAGGCAAACACAAGCGCGCAAAACGCCACTGCCGCCTCGCGTTCGGCGATCGGGGACCCCAATTAGCCCGCACCAAAGGTCACTCCGGCGAGAGGTCACTCTTACGTGTAGTCGAGCGACGTAGTGCTGCAACCCGCCATGCTCGGCAGAGTCGCGCTGCCCAGCGTCGGCGCCTCCGCCGCCGAGCAGCATGGCATCGTGTGCCGCGTGCTCGGGCACGGCGCTCGGCAGCGCTGGCGGCGGTCGAGGACCTCGTCGTGCCGTCCACGAGCTTCTCCATGAAGGCCGCCCCGATGCCGGCCTCGCAGCACTGCCAGTCCCACTCATGGATGTGAGAATCGCGCTGCCGCTCCACATTGTGCTGCTGGACAAGAAAGCTGCTGGTGGGTCGTACTGCTCACCGCCGTGCTACGGACCGCGCTGGATGGTCCACTCCTGAATGCGTGCTGCTGGTGAGCTGCTGGTCTTCGTGCTGCTTGACGCCGCTGGACTGCTCATAGACGTGCTGCTCGCCACACTGCACGTCCTGTTCTTGGGTGTCAGGGTCGTGCTGCTGCACCCCTGGGTGTCAGGCTGCTTGTCGCCGACGTACTTGGCGGTGCTGGCGTCGGTGCTGGAGTAGGCGTCGAGGTTGGTGCCAGCGTCGGCGAAGGACATCAGTGCTGATGTTGGCGCTGGCATAGGTGCTGGCGCAGGCGCTGGCATTCGTGCCGGCCTCAGTGCTGGCATCGGCGCTGGTGTAGGCGCTGGCGCCAGTGCCGTCGCAATCGCAGGCGTTCATGCTGGCGTCGGTACTGGCATCGGTGCTGGGTACTCTGGATTTCTTAATAATCGTGGGGGGTACCCCCCCGACGGGGTCAACCTCGCCTCGTCGTCGCGCCGCGACGGGGGTCGGAGCGCCTTCGGCGCGCGGTGGCTACCCGCGACGGGGGTCGATGTGGGGCTGTCGGCGGGGGTGACGCCCCCCCGACGCTTTGAGAGACTCGGATTAGGCGCCGGCGATTGTGCTAGTGTCAGAGCTCGAGTCGAAGTCAGCGTTGGAGCCGGCATACGCGTGCGTCACCGTGGCATTTTGATGAGCTTCGTGTGGAGGGGGGGCAGGATCTGTCCCCCGAGCTCTGGCCACCACGCTCGACGCTCCGGCCCAATGTCGGCCCGACCTGCGCGGTGTGATTCATCTTACCGTGGGCTTTCAACTGGCCCCAACACGGCGCAGCAAACAAGAACCAAAGCGCCGTATCCCTGGAGCGGCTGGCCGCCGCGGTCACGCCCTGCAGCGTCGTCGTGCCGACGCTGCTGCCAGAACCGCACGTCGAACTCGTGATGGTGGTCGGAACCCTGCAGCTGCTGGTCGGCGTGGTCGGGCGGCTCAGCGTCGTCGCGCCGCTGCTGCAGGGGCCAATTCATGGAACTCGCGGTGACCGTGGAGTCCGGGGAGCTGCGGGCGGTCGCGGCCATGCCGCTCACTGTCGTCGTGCCGACGCTGGTGTCCACGATGATGTCGGTGAAGGCATCAATGCTGATGCTGGTGCTGGAACCGGTGCTGGCGCCGCGCTGCCCCTCCGCCGTGCGGCAACGGATAGGCCGGAACAGGCAAAGCAGAGCTACCAGAAAAGAGCTGTAAGCTTCTCTGGTGCCGATGTTGGTGTCGACTTTGGTGTCGAAGCTAATCAAGATGTTGGCGTCGGTGTTGGTATCAATCGTGGCGTGGGTGCTGGAGTCGATGCTAGTGCCGCACTGCCCGTCTGCCGTGCGCGAAAGGATAAGCGGGAACAGCCAAAGTAGAAGTAGCAGAAAAGCGTTCCAAGTGGTAGCGCACCGTGCCGCGAGGCTGACCCGCTCATTGTCGAACGTACTCGTCGTCATGGTGTTGTTGCCCGTCATGCTGACCACCGCCGTGCTGCGCACGCTCGTGGTGTGGAAGTGCCCGCCGTCGTGAGGCTCATCGCTGCGCAGCTCATCGTCGTGCTGCCCATCGTCGTGCTGCCGGCAGCCCGCAAGGCCGTGGTGCTGGGTATCGCCGAGGTGCTCGACGCCGCCGGTGAGGTTCATTGACCGACTGGGGGATCGACTACAGAATTGATTTACCCCAAAATTGATTTTCACGTCGACTCTTCAACCAAAAACGCGTCAACCATTCGTAAGTTCTACGAATTGCCCGTGGATTCGACTAGAAAAAATCAAGTCTGGGGCGAATCAATTCTGTAGTCGATCCCCTGCTCGAATTGCGGAAGCACTCGCCTCCGTGGAGCTGGATGACGATGCGGTGCAAGGCTCCATACTGGCGGGTGCCGCGAGAGCTCTCGGCTCCGCAGTGCCGGCCGCCGACGTGGCGCGCGAGGCCGTCGGGAGGGTCACCACGTGGCGGCGCCCGCCTGCCGGCAGAGCTGCAGAGCGCGGTGGTGCTCGAGCTCGTCTTGGCGGGCGTCGTGACAATGCTCGACTCTGTACTTTCGGGGATGGACAGACCCCCCTTTAGTAAAACGTGGTTTAGTGAAAACGACCTGAGGCCCAAACCTGCCGGGCGCAAGCCTGGAAAATAACGGCCACGGCGCCCTCTCAAGAACCGAAAACGGACAATTCACTAATCGACGTGTCACTGTTGGGGGTTCTGTCCATCCCCGATAACTAGTGCTGGACCGCGTGGTGGTGCTCACCTCCGTCGCGACTCCGTCGTGGAGGACACCGTCGCGGCGAGACAACGGCGTGTTGCCGGAGCCGGCCGTGCGGGACAGCGTCGTGCGAAAGTCCGTCGTTCTTAAACCCGTCGTGCTGCACAGTGTCGTGAGGCAGGCATCTCCTGGGCCTCGCATTCTGTCGTGCTGTTCAACGTCGTACCGCTGGAACCCGTCGTGCTGCCCATCGTCGGTCGTGCCGCTGGGGACCGGCATGCTGCACACAAGTGGAGGTCGAGGGATTCCGCGTGAGTCTGCCCAAGGAGGGGTCGGAGGGAGGGAGGGAGGCAGGGAAGGAAACAGGGAGGGAGGCAGGTGGAGCGTGGCCGAAGGGAGTCGTCGTCGTCTTTCGTTGTCGCCTGTCGTCGTCATCGTCGTCATGGTCGGCACCTTGTGCCGTTGCCGTCGTCGTCAACGTCGTCGTCGTCGTCGTCGACGTCGTCCGTCGTCGTCGTCGTCGTCGTCGTCGCCGTCGTCGTCGTCGTCGCCGTCGTCGTCGTCGTCGTCGTCGTCGTCGTCGTCGTCGTCGTCGTCGTCGTCGCCGTCGTCGTCGTCGTCGTCGTCGTCGTCGTCGTCGTCGTCGTCGTCGTCGTCGTCGTCGTCGTCGTCGTCGTCGTCGTCGTCGTCCGTCGTCGTCGCCCAGCGCCGTCTGTCGTCGTCGACGGGGAGGAGGAAACGAACCAGCCGAGGACCGCGGAGCGGCCCGGCTCGGGAGGAGCGCTGCCGGGACCGCACGGGGTCCTGCGCCCGCTTCTCCAGGGCGTCGTCGAGCGCGGGCGCGGCCGAGCACCCGGCGCCGTCGAGCACCTCCCGGAGCCCCTCGCACAGCGCCTCTCTGGCCGAGCGGGGGGAGGCGAGGGGGGGGGGCGCGCGAGCGAGCGGCGCCCGCCCGGGGCCTGGCGCGGAGCGGGCGGAGGAGGCCGCGGCCTCGGGAGCACGCCGTGCGCCGGAGGCCACGGCTTCTGGTGGCCCGTGGAGGCCGCAGCGCGGTCGACCCGCGGGGGCCCGCGGCCGGGCGAAGGCGCCCCGCAGGCGCGAGGAGGAAGGCGGCGCCGGGATCTCGGAGGCGGCCGGGGGCCTCCGCATAGAGCCGTGGCGCTGCCAGCCCAGACCCCCTCGAGTAATGAAAAAATCATGACGGGAGGTTTTTCCAAATATTCGGCCTCCGGGGGCCCTCACCGGGCCTCGGGAGCGTCAAAAAACGACTCAGGATGCAAAGCCGGTCATGGGGAAAGAAGGGTCGGGACCTCCGGGGGTCGACGTAATGAAAAAATCATTACGTCGGGGGTCTGGGAGGAGAGACGCCGAGAGAGGGAGCGAGTGTTGGAAGCTTGGGCAGGAGCACCAGCACCAACGCCAGGGGTTGCATCCTGGATGCTGGTGCTGGTGGTGATCTTTTCGGCCACCTCGGAGGCCCCCCTATCTCACCACCGTCACGGGGATCAGGAGCATCTTCCCTCAGTGGAAGGGCACACCGCCGATATTGGTGCTGGTGTCAATCTCTACACAAGACCTCCGAGAGTGGGGCGCTCCTGGCCACGGCGAGACTCGGCCGCGAGGAGGCCCCCCGCCCAAGGCCGGAAGCACGGCCCGAAACAACGGAGCCCCTCCCGAGCCCAAAGTGGTCCTCACGCCGGCGCCCTGACTGCACGAGCGCTCCTGGCCCTCGGGGGGGGCCCTTCTGGCACACGGCCCGGGGGGGTTCTCCATGGAAGAACCCCCCACCGCAGGCACGGCCTGGAAGAGGAAGGGGAGCCAGAGCCCGGCCTGAGACCAAGGCGATCCGTGCTTCAGCGTCGGAGTCGCGAGCTGGAGGAGAAGGAGGAGGAGGAGGAGGAGGAGGAGGAGGAGGAGGAGGTAGGAGGAGGAGGAGGAGGAGGAGGAGGAGGAGGAGGAGGAGGAGGAGGAGGAGGAGGTAGGAGGAGGATGAGGAGGAGGAGGAGGAGGTAGGAGGAGGAGGCAGGAGGAGGAGGAGGAGGAGGAGGAGGAGGAGGAGGAGGGAGGAGAGGAGGAGGAGGAGGAGAGGAGGAGGAGGAGGAGGAGGAAGAGAACCAGGAAAAGCGACCGTGTGGGGGGAGGGGGGAGGGGGGGCGGGGGGAGGGGAGGGGGACGGGGGCGGGTGCGCATCCCCGGCTGCCCCCAGGGCTCCCGACCTCATCCCCAGAACCGGCTTCCCACCGCGAGTCGTCGTCCATGGACCCAGGGCCCAAACGCGGCCCGCAGAGCTCGAACTCGCAAAGGAGTCGGTCTCTGGAGGTCCCTGGAAGCCTCTGGGGTTCCCGGGAGCCCCACGAGGTCCCTGGAGGCCTCCAGAAGCCTCCCGAGGCCCAACTGGGGCCAGCAACGACCTCGAAATCTTCGAAGACATCGATCCTCGGCCCTCGTCCCTGGACCTGGATGACCTCGATCCTCGGCCCTCGTTGGACCAGAAAACTAACGACACCATCCCACCTACGGCCCCACGGGGCTTAGCGTATACTAGGGGATCTGGCGTGGGCTTTTGCGTGGTATGCGCTACGGCGCCCGATGGGAAGTAGCGCAACATGGAGGGCCAGTGGTGTCGCGTGTTGTTTGGTCGACTCGTCCCTGTACCCTTCTGGCCAGTCTGGCCTGGCCGCCAGGCAGCCCGGGCCCCCGCTGCAGCTCGGACTGAAGCTGCAGGTTCAGCGCGGTGAGGCTGCTGAGCGGCCCCTTGGCCAGCTGCGTCCGCAGCCGCTCCGCGGAGGGCCGCAGCGAGGCCAGCAGTTCCTGCAGGGCTGGTCGGGAAGGGAGGGGTGTGCTTTCCGTTTTCTCCTGCTTCTTGCTCAGTCAGTCCACGTGTGCGCGACGTGTCTACAGCGCCTTGAGCTCAACTGAGCACTGACATGCCGACGAGTGGGGCGAACTGGAAGGGGAAGGACGCGGGCAAAACGAGGGCAGGAAGAGAAGAAGGTAAGACAATCTGCAACGAAAAGCACATCAGCAATCAGCCTGTACTCGAGGGGTATGCGGGAGGCACCTCCACACTCGAGGAAGAGAAAGCCATGCCGTAGCTCCCGCAAACGGGGGGTGGGGTCGTCGGCAGCCTCCAGGGCTCGAAGGCACACTTCGAGAAGTCCGCCGCGGGCGCCGATTGTTTCTCAAGAAAATGTGGGTTGGTCGCGGGTGGGTCGCAAGTGGATTGCAGGCGGGTCGCGGGTGGGTCGCGGGTGGGTCGCGACCACGATGACGACGACGACGACGACAAACAAACAAACAACAAACAAAAAAGCAAACAAGCAAACAAACAAACCAATAAGCAAACAACCAAACAAGCAAACAAACAATCAAACAAAACGAATCAACAAATCAACGATCACACAAACAAACAAACAAACAAACAAACAAACAAACAGACCAACAAACAAACAAACAGACAAACAAACAAACAAACGACAACACCAACAACAACAACAACAACAACAACAACTGGAATCACTGTAAGACTGCTCGCTCTTGCCTGCTCGCGTGCCATTCAACACGTAGATCCCAAACCCTCGATACCCGCCCTCTTCGTCTTCGATCGAACCTCCTTAGGAGTATATCTTTCTTACTTGCAACACGTGTTTCGTGCAGCCTCTAAGGCAAGAGAAGAGAGGACGGATGGAAGGAAGGGACAATGGGGCAAGCGGGTTGCTGAAGCGTGCGCCCTGCATGAATCGCGAGAAAGAAAGTCTCGATCGATAGCGCGATTCCCAAATCAACCGTGAGGAAATCCACAGCGAGAGCGTGATTCCTGAGTGTCGAGGGCGCGGCGTCTGAATGCACTGCGAGGAAGTACCACGCGACAGCGCGATTCCTTTTATACGTTGAAAGGGAGTCCAGCGCGAGAGTGCGATTGGGGAACAACTTGTGAGGAAGTAGCAGGGCCCACTTTGGCGACCCTTCACTTCCCCGTGAAAAAAAAAACAGCAGGGCGCGAACCCCAGAAGAAGCACCTTGATCAAAAAGTAAAACAAAAAAAAACTACCAGAGGGGGGGGAACAGCAGCACAGACTCCCTAGAAGTGAAAACCCGGCAGCAACAGCGACGAGAAGCCGCACCGCGGAGCTCCACTGTGAGCACGCACCCGGGGACGGCGTAGTCCCGCTCGCCCCCATCACACGGACAGAAACCTACCAGAACCATAGGCCTTCGAAGCTCCGCGTGCACATCTTAAGATCGGCGCGGGAGCTCCCTCCCTGGGGCCGCGGAGCGCGGCAGGGGGCGGCGCCAGAGGCGCCCCCAGGCATGTCCCGCGCCGATCCGAGAAGTCCGCGCGGAACTGTGCAGAGCCTCCTCTTCCTCCCCCTCCCACTCCCCCTTCCCCCTCCCCCTCCTCCTCCTCCTCCTCCTCCTCCTCCTCCTCCTCCTCCTCCTCCTCCTTCCTCCTCCTCTCCTCCTCTCCTCCTCCTCCTCCCACCCTCCACCTCATCTCCTCCTCCTCCTCCTACTCCTCCTCCTCCCTCCTCCTCTTCCTCCTTCTCCTCCTCCTCGCTCACTCCTTCTCCTCCTCCTCCTCCTCCTTCTCCTCCTCCTTTTACTCCCCCTCCTCCTCCTCTTCCTCCTCCTCCTCGCTCACCTCCTCCTCCTCCTCCTCCTCCTACGTTTCTACGTTTCTCGCTATGCAGCGTCTTGTCGCGCGCCCCGCGGGCGCGGAGCGCTCTGCAGCGGCCCTCCAGGGCCGCGCGAGCACTCAGACGGCGGCCCCGGGAACCCGACCCCGAGGAAAGCAGGGAGCCAGGGACCAATAATCACAGAGAAGGGAGAAGGGGGGCCGGGTTTCAGCAAAACTAAAAAGATGAGGGCCCGTCTGGGCCGTCAGCGGGCGCCGCGCTCGCCCGTGCCAGCTCAGCCAGCTCGGCGCGCAACCAGGCCTTCGGCCTCTTTGTGGGCGGTCGGCCTCTTGTGTGGCGGCTGGGCTCCCTTCGGCGCCTCGCGCTGAGCCCAGCCGCCAGGTCATCAGATGGATGGCCGCCTTCTCTGCGGCGGCCTCCACCCTTCGGCGCTTAGCGCTGTGGAGGCCCGCCGAGCCTCTCTTGGACTCCGGCGGCTCTGCAGCAATCTACTCGCCTGCCACGCGAGGGCGGTGGGGAGGCACCCTTCGGCGCCAGGCGCTGTGTCTCCCTCGCCGCGGGGCAGGCTGCCCCTTCTGGTCGAGTACTCCATGGCTTGTAATTCTCCATGGTGACTGACGCTGTATACTTCCAGTACTGCCTGACGTTGCAGAGCTGCACCATGTAGAGCTTGCGCTTGTAGGGCTCCATGTAGAGCTGCGGTGCTGCCGTCGTCAGTCATGACCCCCCTGCTTTTGAGGTGCAGGGGGGTGCTGATCACGGCTGTTGTAGATGTCGATGTATGGGGGCTGAGTGCAAGATGTGGAGCGAGTTGGACGGTCGTTGGGGGTCGGTTCGTTGCTGGTGTTGTGTTGGTTGAGGGCTACCAAGGCCTCCATGCACCGACTTCAAGTGGGGGTCGTTGCTGTCCCACCTCGTCCCGCTATGGCTAGGGGTCACGGTGCCCTCGGTGGGGGCGAACCCCAGGCCTGGTACTTGTTATCGTCGGAGTGGGGTGTCTCGGCTGTCCAGCTTCGCCCTCGGGCGGTCGGGTAGCTCCTCCTTCCCCATGGGAATGGTGGGGGTGGCGAGCTAGGGCGGACCGCGGGGGCGCAGGTAGTGGCCGTCCTACCCCCCCCCCCTGCCCCTCACCATCCCCGCTGGCGGGCGCGGGAAGTACTCGTCCTTCCCCCCCAGCCCTTCGAGCCCGTCTCGAAGTTTGATCCTCACCAGGACAGCGTTGACTTGGCAAGAGTTGTGTGGGGTCGTGCTGGGCATGCTGTCGGTCGGTCGGTGGTACGCTGGCGGCCAAAGGGCCGCCCGCTGCCAGCCAGCTGCGCCATCCAAATTGTAGATATCCAGTCGCCGCCGGGGTACACAACAAAACGTGGCGACTTGTGCCTGGGGTGTTCCCTCGCATTCGGGGCTCCCCCAGGACTTGCGTTCTAACCATAGCAAAACTTGGCGACGCTGCCTGAGGTCTCCCCACGCATTCGGGGCTTCCTCAGGACTTAAGCAGCACACCGTAATGCCTTGTCCAGGGCGCAAGATAATCATAGAAATAAATGCCAATGTTGGGAAAGTCGCTAAATCCAGAAAGTGCTCGAGGGGGGGGCACGCTCCGTCGCCATTGAGGGATCGTGCCCACCCGTATGGGCGCTACGGGTCCCCCCCCTCGAGTGCGGCACGCAATCGTTGTCCAGGTCGCAGCCGTGCCAGTAACCCAGTAGCAACGGGGTATTGGGCCATGCAGTAGGTGCGCTGATGCTGACACGTCTGCTGCCAATCTGAAATACTCTGTATACAATATTGTAATGCCAGCTGCCCTCAAATCTGTAGCAGGCCGGTGGTCTGCGCCAAACTGCAGACCAATGTTCCCTTCAGGGGCTGAAGTATATAATACTGAACGCTTGACTCGACTAACTGCACCAAATAATGTAGCGCCGCTGCAGTGCCAGCTGCTAGCGCCGATGGTTGCCCCATGCCCTGTGACAATCATGGCCGAGCTGCTCTGGCTCAATGTAGCAATCCAAGGGGGCGTAGAACCTGTGGTAGCATTCATCCGTTTCGGCCCACATTGCCTCTTCGTCAGCAAGCTGCCCCCAGTGGGCTGCGAAAGCGGTAGCCATTGCCTTGCACAGCCTTGATGGATACTCTTTGAGGGGGGCGGTCCTCCAGCCGCCTTGGCCGTCTCGTCCGTAAGCTCTGGCATGTCCCGTATGTCGGCATAGCTGTCCCCCAGGTGCCGCCCTTAGCTCCTGTGCGAGTTCACCGAGGTGTGCCGCCATCAGACATGTTGGTTTTCTCGCAGCCTGCCCAAACTGGCACTGGTCTACGTAGTGAAGTTCGACGCCCGTCTGCTCCAGGAGCCAGAGTGTCTCTGCTCGCTGCCAGCTGCTAGGCGCTTGAGGGCACCAGGTGGCTGGGGCGGGATGCTCGAGTACGGCTGAAACGTTGTACTGCAGGCCCGCGGTGATGAGTCGTAAAGCTGTCCTGTATAGCTCGTTGGCTAGTGCGATCTGTTGATGCTCCGCTTGACTAGCTGCTTGTATGCCCCAGGGGGATTCATGTGTACGTAGTGGTCGTGGTGCATTCCCCTCGGCGGCATGCCAGCGCGATGAGCACCACGTCTCGCAGGGCGGGCCCGCCACAATACCAAATATTTTGCCCTGTCGTATCGCTGCGCACCAAAACTCGACGACGTCTGGCTTCGTCAGGTCTCCTTTGTCGGGGTCTATCTGCACGTCGATCGATAGTACTACCAAGTTACATTCCCGAATGTTCATCTCGAAATGGTACTGGAAATCCTCGATTCGACGTCTGCCCGACAAAAGGTGCAGCAAGAACATAGCCGTAGTAACCATGGGCCTGCACGGTGAGAATACGTTTGCAGGTGGTGTCGCTGTTTGGACGTCCGCTGCTGCAGGCGGGGCCGGCGAGAGTTGGAGCTGATGCTGCTCTATGTAGTCGGCCAGCTTGAGCTGTACGACCGGTTGGGCGGGCACCAGCGCCTTTGTAGCTCCATGCCCCATTGCCTTCCTCGCCGCCACCGCTTCTCGTTCTTCTTCTCGGCGTTCGGCTGCCTCCTGCAAATCCATTGGGACTTCGATTGCTTGGAGGACCGCCAGGCATTTGGGGCACCTTCTCAGGTGCTTGAGTATGCGGGATCTCGTTATGAAGTTCTTCCCGCACCCA